ATACCTTCTTATAAATAAGAGTAGAGGAAGCGGCGCGTAATCTCATACCCATTCGCATGACTATAATGGTGGCCGAATGGTACAGCAATATGAACAAGGCCGTACAAAAACATACTCCCCCGGCGGCCATGCATGCTTGCTTGAAGGTGCGATTTTCGACCTTGTTAAAATGGTCTATCACTACGCCTAGTAGCAGGGGCTGACATATAAGACAAACGCATTCCTACCAACAAAAGGTTTTAACATTTTATTTAATGAAATTATTCATGTTTATTGAGCATCCAGATGGTTTTAATTATCTGAAATTATACGCTTACCCCCAATATTAATAAAGTGAGTGGCAGTATATAGTATTTTCCGAATGCCATAACCAATGCCCTCCAGAATTTGGATGACTTTTTTTGACGTTCATTATTCCAGTGCCTGATATGGAGTCACAATTTAGTATACCTCTAATCAACCCTCCCTCCCATCCCGGCTCTATATGAATGACTGATTTACTAGACTCCATGAGCCCACACCTACTTTTCCAGCTCCTGGACAATCGGTTGTGACTCGTCGTGTCGGGAGCACCGGAAGAGGTCGTCTACATTAAGACCATTGTTTCGCCAACCCTTCATAAACACCGGGAATATCCATCTGTTTGGTCATAATGTTTGAAATAATGATTATTTAGGAAATCTATTTTAGTTAATCAGATCATTTGTTTTTAAATTATAAAGTTTTTATAATGCTAAGAATAATGTTGGTACCAAAATTAATTTGTATATTATGCTCTATGTAACTTGTATTGTTTCATGTTTGTGTGTTTTTTCTATCTACCGTATACTGTACTTTATTTAAAATGTAAATTACTTTGTGGACCACCACTTGCATTGTTGAATTATTTATTTGATAATAAAAATAATTTTATATTATCTACACCATTGAATCTACTTGATAGACTCAAGTAATAAATTTGAATAAACTCTAAACCATTTGAAATATTTGTTGAAAATTTTATATTTAATTAATAATATTTATTAGGAATTATTTTTGTGTAGTTTTAACTTTTATTGAGCACCGGTATGCCAACAGCGTGTATAACTGTAAACAGGTGTTTGACAAACTCACGAGTCAACACAAAACATTTAATTTTAAAAATTTAAAACATTTAAAAACATTTAAATATTGAACAAGGCAACATTTGAGTGATCACTGCATCCATAGATCTATCATTATGTTCACTAATTAGTGTGTATTTAGTGAATATTACAATCAGTATATTCATTTCATTTTGTAAATTATTAAATTTTTAAAATTTAAATAGCATAAACTAATTCACATAATTAAAATTAGATACAATTGTCTATTTACCTAAAATAAGATCAAGACAATTTAACACTTACGTGAGAAATATTTTTTGGAAAATATTGGTATTATCCCACCGAGACTTCCCCAATATTTTCGCACCCTCCTCCATTATTAATTTTTAAATTATTTATAAATGTGTTTATTCTGAGATTAAAATAAATTACTATTGAGATTTATAATTTAGATTATTTTTTAATCATGTTATAACTAATTTTCAATAAACTCAATTAACAACAACACATTGAGTAATATATAATTTAATATCATTATGAAATTATATACCTTAAATAATTTAATAACTATTAAATCTAATAAAATTTTAAGAAAACATATGGACTATAAATTGTTGAAGTGTTCCTAGAAATATACTTTTCAAACTGTAATTTTAGCATTAACACACATTAATAAATAATGATTATAAATAATTAAAAATAATTTTCGATAAATAGTAAAAACCTAATCAAATTAAATAAAATAAATTTATAAATTAATGTTATATTTAATGAATATGTTTTGATTTACATTATAACTAATATGCATATTATACAATCAATAAATTAATTATAATAAACAAAGTGATAACAAATGATAACAAGTGATAAATAAGCAAATTTTATGATTATAAATATCAGAAAATAATTCTCAACATATAAATTGCTATTATAATGTATGGGATATCTGTTAAAACTTTAAACTGTATTTTTTTATTTTACAACATAAATATGTTTTTGATATCAAATGACAGGGCTTAGTTTAAAAACATGTAAATGACTAAACATTGAATACAACCAAATTAAACACATCTGGACTTCATTACCGTTACTGTACGGATAAAATATGTTAAGTAGGAGTCCTGTCGTGAATATACCCATAGAAACGCTAAATATTTCGGTCGATGTCTCGGCGTTTAGTTTGAGGGGTGAGTACTGATAGTAAGTGACCGCAAACTTATTGAATGTCGTCTCAAATATGTTTCAAATGGCAAACAACAGGGCAAACAATATTCAGACTGTTATTTTCGGGGTGTCTTTCCTATTAAACAACTTAACCGTCTCTTCAGTCTCATGACTTTCATCCCCATCCGTGTCCACAGTTTTATGAATTGATTCTTTGTATGGCTTCACAAAATTCATTACAAACAACGATAATGGCACTGAAATTGATAAATAAATAATTATTATTAGTTAATAAATAAATTTTTCATTATAATTGGTACGCTATACAATGATAATTTAATTATCAACTGCTGAGAATACTCAATGTAAAATACTATGAAAATAATTTTATATTCACCCGTTATAATACAGCCGCCAATCAAAAGTGTTGGTATCATAAGCCGGGACTTTCTATCGATCACATCAATCGCTAACTCATTGTCTGAATAAATGGTGTGATTCTTGATCTCTGACTCCAATTCTGCGGTAATGTATGGCTTTAAAGCAATTGTCGAGAGAATGGCTCCGATTCCGAAGGAAAGCTCATAGATCTGTATAATCGGGACTTTACTGCCCCTCCAGAGCTCTATGAGCCACACGGATGTGAAACACCCTAAACCACTGGATCCAACACCGGTGGCAAACGCACAGATATATANGTTTACCAAATTATCTTTATATTGCTGATGAGTGCTTACATTTAAATATTTAATAATAAATTCAGTGAATTGTCTGTCATTTATTACTGGATTCAATTGCATTGGATTTGATGGATCATAAAATTTGTTAAGTTGATCTCCATACGAAATATAAGAAATACGATTAGTAATGCTATAATAAGTTTTCATAAGTTCAATATAATGAACGTTAGATTTCAAACCATAAGAATCTGGGAAATTAGAAAAATAATCGCTTGATGATAGATTAGTTTTAAACTTTAAGTCAAATACATTAACTATAAAATAGTGCCACATATTTGGATCAAATAAAATATTTTCAAACATATTTTCATAACATATTGTGATTGAAGGCAATGAATGCAAAGGAATCTTATTGTCTGTCAGTTTGTATTCAATCGTCTCAATCGAGGTTTGCGTTGAATATTGTAAATAATTTGTCGTTAAATTAAATAATTGTGTCAAAATGAATGGTATGGATATAATAATAAACATTTTCTTGTAGTTATATTTTTCAAAAAGTTCAATTATTTTCCTAAACCAATTGAGCACTATATTAATATTCGCTATTAAAGTATTGTTAATTAAAAATAAAATAATAATTTTAATTCTCATTATGATTCTTCTAATCAAAACATTTGTATCAATCAATGCACAGCCAAACCATAAAGTAATAAGTCCTCCGATACTCGAGAGATAGTCAACGAAATGATTAATCATTACACATGTGTTTATACTAAACCCTGTCATTTGATTATATTGGCAATCATTATTTATTAATGTGTGTTAATGCTAAAATTACAGTTTGAAAATTATATTTCTAGGAATACTTCAACAATTTATAGTCCATATGTTGTCTTAAAATTTTACTAGATTTAATAGTTATTAAATTATTTAAGGTATATAATTTCATAATGGTTTTAAATTATATATTACTAAATGTGTTGTCAATTGAGTTTATTGAAAATTAGTTATAAAATGATTAAAAAATAATCTAAATTATAAATCTCAATAGTAATTAATTTTAATCTCAGAATAAACATATTTATAATTATTAAAAATTAATAATGGAGGAGGGTGCTCAAATATTTGGGAAGTCTCGGTGGGATAATACGAATATTTTTCAAAAAATATTTCTCACGTAAGTGTTAAATTGTCTTGGTAATATTTTAGGTAAATAGATAATTGTATCTAATTTTAATTATGTGAATTAGTTTATGTTATTTAAATTTAAAAAATAATAATTTACAAAATGAAATTAATATACTGATAGTAATATTCACTAAATACACACTTATTAGTGAACATTATGATAGATCTATGGATGCAGTGATCACTCAAATGTTGCCTTGTTCAATATTTAAATGTTTTTAAATGGTTTAAATTTTTTTAATTAAATGTTTTGTGTTGACTCGTGAGTTTGTCAAACACCTGTTTACAGTTATACACGCTGTTGGCATACCGGTGCTCAATAAAAGTTAAAACTACACAAAAATAATTCCTAATAAATATTATTAATTA